TTCTTTTCTTTTTTTCTTTTTTGCAGGGTGCCGACGACCCCTGACCGGTAGGTGCCGACCAGCCGACCAGTCAAGGGCCGCCGACCGTCGGGGTATGCAACACTGATCCATTGACGTAGGACTTTACTTCTCGCTCGCTGCACGTAGGCACGTACTTGCATCCAGCTAAAGAGAGACAAGAACATAAATGAAGAAACGAAGAAAGAAAGAAACGAAGAAACGAAAACACGAAGAAACAAAAGAAACAAAGAAACAAAGAAACAAAGAAACAAGGAAACAAAGAAACAAAGAAACAAAGAAACAAAGACTCTTCGCAACCAACCTTATGTCCGAGCGCTTCCGATGTTCTTCTGGACTGAATGCTGAAACAATGTTGGTACTGTGAGGATTGAGCCCTCAAAAGGGGGCTTGCCGTGATGTACATGTTCTGGGCTAAGACCCCCAGCAAGCCTCGTGCTCTAAGTGAAGGAGGGCCAGCAAATCAGCAAGAGCCCTTTGTTTAAACATTTCACGAAGTGGGGTCCATACAGTTGCCGCACGCCAGTTGGTTGGAGTGCACTGAGTATCGGAACTCTGCAAATGCAGAAWTCYCAGGGCCCCAGAATTGGTTAGGCCCTGGGCACATAAACGTGAGGCCGACAATGCATGCTGGATATAGAGGCCGAAAATGCCAATGGGAAACCGGTCTACTATCTGAATCTGGCCGCAGGCCTTGATGAAAGGGGCGCAACTGSATCTCCTGGGCCCCAACCGCATTGGGCCTGGGTGCAGGTACTGGGGCCCAGGCACAGGCTCAAGGGAGGCTGCCCACACGCAACACTGGCATATAGGCGGGGAGGGCGAGTGGGMAGGGATCTTGGCCATTGCGAGCAAGGCCGGCACGCTGCTGCGTTGCATGTGTGCTGCGCTGCGCTAGGCTGAGCAGGGCAGGCTGGCGCTAAGCGGTAGAGCGCAGCCTGGGGGCAGGGCGCTGGCGGCCATATCCGGGCTGCCTGTGGGCGCAGTAGGAGGTGAAGGGCGAAGGTGATTCTTCGGAGGTGAAGGGCGCTGTGTGGGATAACAAGGGAGAGTGAGGGTGAAGAGAGAGACGTACCTGGTGGAGAGGAGGTCGGCATTGGTGTTGACATCATCACTCGCTGGTCGTCAAGTTGTCTGGTTGCTTCCATGCTGTAGTTGTAGTGATAGGCTGTAGAGTAGGTAGAGCGCCTGGCACTATTCAAGAGAGAGAGCTACATTGGGTTATGCTGTTGGTGTTGCCCGATTGGGCTTGGACATTGACTCACGATTCTTCTGTATCGTTCTCAAATGGGTGGTTACTCGGTTCCATTGTGCTATATCTGCTCTTGCTTTGACTACTTGGACTTCAGTGTGATTTTGCAATCTGGATTTCTGTGCTTCGTCCACATTCATGTTCCTTGCAGTACACAAAGTAACAAAATAATACGAGATCTAGACCATACAACTGATCGTGCCTTTTCGGAAGTCATTCATCCTTTTTTCTTTTTTCTTTTTTCTTTTTGCGGTCCAACCTGTTGGACAGACCTAACAACCGACTCCTTTTTTGAAATAATTTTTATGACATAGCCACAAATTGTGCTGTCCACCCATCATGGGGGGAATCTACTACTTTTCTCTTATGCTTCTGCCCCTCTACTACAAACAACAGATCAAGTTCCTGCCCTTGCTACCTACACCCCCCCCGATCTCCCCGTACCCCCCTTCCCCGCAAACAAAAACACACACAAAAATCAAATCCCTGTAAGTTTTTTGAACTTCGTTGAAGTTCTTTCCCTTTTCAACTTTTTTTTTTTTTGGTCTTTTTCTGCATTTTACCCCCCTCCTTCCTCTATGCCGTTTGCGGTTATCAATTGATTTATTTATCTAAATTACTTTTACAGTTTACTAACATTATCCGTTTTTCACTTCACTTGTGGTTTGATCTTTGAGCGGCTTTCCCTTTCATAGGTGTTTGCGACCAGATAAACTCATTCCTGCAATTTTGGACTTCGTGATTGGACTGATTGGTCCCAAGTTCGCTGAGCCTATGCTTCACAACTTAGAATCCTGCATTGCAGATTCAACACCCGCTTTGCCACTGCTCTTCATCCTGTCCCCAGGATGTGAGGACCCGACCATGGACCTCATCCGCTTCGCCGATGAGCAGGGCATCCACGTCGAGGGTGTCTCTCTTGGACAGGTCGGCAATGGGCCAATACGGCAATCTTCTCCCTCCCCCCTTCCCCCTTCCCCCTTCCCCCTTCTCCCTCCCCCCTTCTCCCGTCTCCCTTCTCCTTGCAACCAGTTACTTTCACCCTCATCAGTGTCATCACTGTTTTTCCTGTACCCCGTAAGATCTAGTACAGTCATTCATACAGAACCAATAATTTGGAAAGGCCATTAGGTCGTGAATAGTCGTTTACACACAACCAGTCATTCAGACCGAACCAATCATGTGCAAAGGCCATCTAGGTGATGAACAAACATCCACACACAACCAATCATTTGCGAAGGCCATTTAGGTAACGAACAGTGGTTCACACAGAAGCAACCATTTGCGAAGGCCATTTAGGTAATCAACAATCATTTCACCACCAGTCATTCACTCTGAACCAATCATTTGTGAAGGTGATCTAGGTAATGAACAAACATTCACACAGAATCAATCATTTGTGAAGGTCATCTAGGTAGTGTTGTCATCCCCGGGGTCCAAGTCGGGGTGGGGATTTCATCCCTACACCCCCGCTGCGGGGATCCCCGACCCCCGGCCCCCCC